GGAAAAGAGACACAGACACACAAAGCCAATCCCAGAAAATGTTAATAATTTGTGAATAAATAAAGGGCACATGTGTCTTTTGATACTTCTTTTTCAACTCTTCTGTGTTTGAAGTTAAAAGTTGGAAGAATTTTTTTTAAAGGCATTTGTTTATTCAGGGTGAACATGATCTTCAAATTCATTTGTCAGATGTTGGTTTCCTGTAGTTTTTAATATTTTTGTGCCACCTGATTGCCTTATGACAAAATAAACTTAGCTATGAAAGAAAAACTGTCTGTGAAGCCATAAAGCCAAACAATTGCTTCACTGAATAGGAAAAGAAAGTATAAAGTTTATTGGCAAGTAATATTGTTATAAATTGTTATTCTCATAATACAGTATAACCAATTATTACCTTGTAATGATAGTCAGCATCTACTAATAAGGAGAGACAAACAGTATTTATACACAATTACACTGAGACCAATTCCTTATAGCCTGAAAAACAATATATCAAACATTAATAGAAGGTATAGGAGGTGTTTTTTCATGATTTACAGGACAAGAAATCACACTATCTTCTATTAGATGATTAACTATTCTGGGAAACATATATTCGGGTTTATAGTTATAATAGACAAAAATACAAGGTGCATAATCAACCCTGTCATCTTTCATTATTACAATTTTGCCAATCTGGAGTGAAGCAAAAAATGACACAAGTAGATAGGGGCATTGGCCTAAGAGGAAGAACACCAGAGTTACAGCTTCAGCTCTGCTTCCAAATAGCCCCAATATTTTTTGGTAAATCAGTTCCCTTCTCTGAGCTTTAGTTTCCTCAGCTATCAAATGTGGCAGCTGAACCAAATTAAGATTGTTGGACCTGCAAGATCAAGGGCTATTTATTTTTCAAGGACTGGGAGATGAGATGGCAATTTAGAACAATTTTATAAGAAATAAAAATTTAATGTAATGTGAATATTATTCATTAGAATTCAATGGGACACAGGGAGAGGAGACCATGAGAAAGGTAAAAATTATCATCAGCTTCAGGGAATCACTCCCTTCTAAGACCTAGGGGCTGCACTCAGTGGGGAGAGACACCTCACCAGCAGCCCAGAACATTTTGGATAAAGAATGGCCACAAGAGGAAGGGTGGAAATTATACTGTGTCAACAAGATTTCCATTGGCTCCTTGTGTGATATGACTTTTCTTTCCAAACCCACAAAAATCTTTATATTTTTACTGGATTATACTTTTTCAATGAATTCTAGAAAGAAGTAATATTTGGCAACCAGGTAGCAACAGAAATTGAAAAGTCCCCCAGAAACAGGAGAGTAAACTCTGAGGAAGTAAATCCAGAAATACCCCAAAACTATGAAATTGGGGTGAATAGAGCAACCCTTCATTAAACTCCATCTTAGAAAAATACTGCATTTTATATTTCATATGGGACTTTGCCAACAAGGATATTTTGCTTAACAAACAAATAAAAATGTGAAGACTGCATCCAACAAGGTAAGGACATAACAAGTGCACTCTTCCATTGTAGGTTCTCACCATAGGATTCTGGGACTATTAAAAAAAAACAAAAAGGCAGACCTTCAGCCTCTCCAAACAGCTGCCTTAATTAACCCAGTCTTGCAGTCACCCATGATAAGCACTTGGCATGCACCTCTAAAGGCTCAGCCACATCAAAGACTCCTCCTTGGGAGACCAATGAACCAGACCAGGAATCCTTTTGTCTTCTTCGCTCCCCCTGGGACTTGTTCATTTACCCTTTCTCCTATCTCTTTCTCCTCTTGATGTTAAGTGCTACCTTGTTTGTTGTGGAATATTTAACCTATAATATTTATATATTGATTAAATATACTATTATGTATGGTTGGCAATACAGACTGACTTGTCGAATGGATTGAGCCTGTGTGCCCAATGGCTCTTACTACAGAGTGAATGGGAAGTGCTAAGGAGAACTGTCTCCTTGGGAACTCCATGTAGCTCATGGCTTTTGTGATTAGAAACTCTCTGAAGAACTCAGAAAATAGAAGTCTGACATGTGGAAAGACACACATACGTGTGAACCAGGACACCTCTAACCTTGCATTGCTGATCACATGGGGCTTTGAGAAAAAGTTGCCTAAACTACTGAGGACATAGATGCTACCAAGTGAGGTATGGGTTAAATCAAACAGAATAAGACCATAGGTGAGTAGAATGCTTTGGAAATTGATTATTTGATTAACTCTAAGTTAATCTGAACACTTGCCCGTCTATTCAGTTTTGTGTGTGTGTGTGTGTGTGTGTGATTTTTTTTAAGTACATAAGCAAATTTTCTTTCCTAAATTGGAACAGTCTCCAGAACATTACTGAATCTTCCTTTGATCATTTTACATTTTATAATGTTTCTGAGTCATTATTTTAAACATCATTACCTCTGCATAGGGATTGTAAATATGGGATGTGAACATTGGATTGAATCTGTACAGAATTCATGCATCCCTGGAAGGTGATTTTTGGAGGGACATAAATCTCGAGTGTAAACTAGTTTCTACTCTTTGTCTTTTTCTCATGAAGTATGAGTATACAGCAACAACAACAACAATTAAGTTGAGGATTCTGGTTAGTTTGGGTTCATAAATTTATCAAATTCTTACCATATTTTGCTTTAAATCAAAGTGAATGAAATTAAATCTATATCCCCTAGTCTAATTCCCTTTAGTAAGACTGCATTCTTTCAACAGCTATTAGAGAAACATTTTTTGCCCACACATTTTCAAAGAAGTTTCTGGAGCTTACAACACACAAGCCATCATTTAAACTATAAGAATTCAGAAACAGAAATTCTACTCACAGTTGAACTTCACTGAGTTGGCTGACATGGTGTTTTAAATTCTAATTGTACTGTAGAGCAAACCCAGATTGAAAAGTTGAGGACAAATCATATGTATTGTTTGTACTAGAAAATTGCATCATTAGCAGAGTCTTTGATACGCAACATCAAGTTCTGTTTAAGATGTTTATGCTCCTGGAAGTTTTTCCTAGCGTTCTTCCATTAGATGATATGTACACAGAGCAGTATTCACAAACTCTGAGTGGCATTGACATTAATTTCTAATAATGTTTAGAAACATTTGTAAAATTTCTGAACATTATTAGAAATTAACAATGGGGCACCATCCTCTAGTATACAATGTGCATGCTAAATCAATGACCATTATTTGATGCACTATCCCCAAAAGAAAAAATATATGGGTCTCAGAATTAAGGCATGGAAGCCACAATGGCTCCTGTTACTATTACCCTGAGTAACCCATTTCAGGAATGTGTGCTTCCCATTTCCACAATTCTGGGCACCACAGGTGTAGAGAACTCTTCTACCAGTAGATAGAAAATACAGCTGCCACTTCAACAATTTGGACACCTTGTGTCCAGGGCCAACAACAACAAAACAGAATAGGGATAATTGCCATCCTGGAAAAGGTGCATGGCCTAGTCATCAGGAGGAAAGCTGCTATTACACATCAGAGAAGTGAGCAATCAGCTTAACACCAAGGTGGTTGGCATACGTTAGTATTCCATCATCTAATTTTAATCATAAATCCATAATTGCCATAGCCATAGCCAGAGCCAGAGTCCTAAAGGGCTCTAGAATGAATCAGAGAGTTTAGCCTAGAGCTCTGTCTCCCCAGTAGCAGCTGGGGCTTCAATTTGTCCTACTAACCTTTTTCTGTTATAACCTTACAAGTTCCTCCGAAGAGAAAGTCCCACCAGAGTTCTAAAGGAGCCACCCTGATAACTTATATGCGACAAACGGCCACAGAAATATGGAGGAATTGTCATAAATACTGCAGTGCCCAGATCTCTCTGCCCTATTCCCTTCAAGACTCAAGGACATATACCCCGAGCTGGGTATGACCTCACTGAAAGAGATTACTTCTCCAGTGAATTCCTACCCAAGTACTGGGGTTAAACAACCAGCTCCTCTCCCCAAAGAGGAACAACTCTGCGAGGCTACCCAAGCTTCAGGGCTCCCTTTGGAGTCAGCTGAGTCCCTGTTGTGATGCATCACAGCCCCAATTCTTCCTATGCCCAGCTCTAATTCTTTCCTTTTCCCACATCCCAAGTGTTGAACCCAAGTCCACTCCCTAAGAAACATCCTTCACACTCATTTCCATCTGAGTCTGTTTCCTGCGGTAGTCAATCTACAACAAATTTTAAGTATCCCTGGCACACTAACAGCAAGAAGTTAATATTGCTATTTTACTTGGGTCATTTTTTTTCTATAGTTTTACAGTATTTTTTCTCTTAGAGTCTTCTAACAGCAAAGAAAATTCTTCAATCAAATGTGTTCATACCCTAACAAGAGCTGTACTATAAAAAAATTATTTTTAAATATATAAGACATCTTTGATTCCTCCAATATAAATACATGTTTAACATAGCCAAACAATGTTAAGACAAACAGAAAAAAGAAAATTTGATTATGGAATAAAATATTTGGGTATTTGAAGCAAAGAAATGGCTAACACGTTAATTGTACTTAATTGGCATATAACCTAAGATTGATCCAACATATCAAAAATCAAGTGACTTCTACACTATGATCAGATTGTAATACCGTTTACTAGCCTTTCTTTCATGTTTTCTTCTCCCTTTATTTGCTCATCTCTTCATCTCTGGAATCTGTTTTTAAGCCTGAAATCCCAGTAGCTGTACTTTCCTACCCACTGTTATTTGTGTCTGAAACCTGTCTACCAGCCTGGAGGTGCCTGCCTCTTTATTAGCTATCTTCTGACTCGAGGCAGCTGCTGCCTCGTCTTGCAGTATCTAGCAGTGTCCAATATCTGCCTCAGACTCCTTGACCTGGGTAAATTTTATTTCTTCTTAGTGGAGAATGCAATGGAGTCACAGCTTACTCCTGGGTTAGGTTCTAACATGAGTCTATTAGATGAAGAAAAAAATATAGATCACTGATAATACTCTTGCAAATCTTATCAGATCAGAAAAAAGATAATGTATCTTTTTTTTTGATTTGATAATTAAAGTTTATTTGAACATAAAATACTTTCTCTGTCTATAAAATTGCTGTTAGCAGTAGCAGCAGCATCTCCTGGCCAAGGGGAGTAGATCTTTCCAGACTACTAAAGCCATATATACAGCCATTCCCACTTCCCTTATTCTGTGGATATATACATGTGCATGGTAGCTAGAGTCCCTCCACCAGAGTGTCTCTCTTTCATGATGGTTTCTTCAGGCAGAGGAAGAGGAGACCTGGTTGAAGACCTGGGATGGTTTTGAGTGGGGCAAGCCATTTGGCTGTACTTTGAAGCCCGCTCTCTCTGGATAGCTCTACTGCTATCCAGAGATAGCCCTTCTCTGTACTCTGTCTGCTGAGGGGATGGGGTATTTTGACTCTCATAGAAAGCAGTACCCCAAGTTACCAAATGACTGCTTGGTCCCGACTGAAGCAGTATAGCTCTCCATAGCATTTTTGGTGGGTATGGATTACATGTGTGGCCAGCTAATGCTTTTTCTTGAGCGGGGGCTATCCATGACCTGTGCTCATACCATGCTCTCTAAGTTCTCTTTGGACAGGGCTTTAGCTGCTGCCTCAGCCTGAGTCTCGGAGGGTGTGTAGGAGTCCTGGTAATCTTGAAGCAGTTTGACCACCTCCAGATGGTTGAACTGTACAGCATCATCCAGGGGAATGTTGCCCCACCTTCGAAGAGCTGAGACATCACCACTATAGGCAGCAAATAACAGGTTGACCACAGTCTTGTTCCGAACTTCTCCTCCTTCACGCTGTGGGTCTAACTTCCGAGCACTTTGCCTCAGGTTGTCATAGTTGTGGAAATTGAAGAGAGACACCAACTTCTGACAGAAGCTAGTTCCTCTATGACTGTTCCCCAGCTTGTCCAATGGGGGTGACAGACACATCATTCCCATGACATTGGGTACCACCAGGAGGATGGCTCCCGATACAGCTGACTTGGCTGGCAGGCCCACGTGGAAGGCAAACTGGCCAGAGAAATCATACATGCCGCAGGAATGCATGAGGCTGAGGGTGTTGCGCACTGCTTCAGCACTCAGCACACTCTCCCCTGTGATGGGGCAGATCCCGCCATTGGCGAGGGTGGCTGCCATGACACTGCCTGATTCACAGGTGACCTCCACAGAGCACAGCTGGAAGTAGAGATCAAGGGCAGCCATCATGTCCACTCCCTTAGGAAAGCACTTTTTTTCCTTGGGATAATAGCCGATGGCATAATTCCGATCCCCTGTTTCCTTCTCTGACTGGAATGTGGCATTGCTGAAACCCATGTATTCATTCGCAGCCATTTTGTTGAGATACTGCAACACAAAATCAAACTTCTCTGCTTTGTTACAGTCCATCTTGATTAGGGAGCTGACGACAATGGCACCAGCATTGACCATGGGGTTATGGGGAATTCCATCCTCATTGAGGGAGAGCTTGTTGTAGCGCAGGCCACTGGGCTCTTTGCCCACAAACTTGTGCACGTAGTCAGTGCCTAGGGTGCCTATGGAGATGGCATAGGTGAGGGGCTTCACACAGGACTGCAGGCAGAAGGGGATCTTTGTGTGGCCCACAGAGTGCCGCTGACCATCCACAGTGCACAGGGAGACACCCCACAGGTCTGGGTTTGACTTGGCCAGTTGAGGGATGTAGGCTGCCACTTTACCTCCAGTGAGCTCTTTGGCATCCTCAAAGATGCGATCCACATGGCCCGTGAACTCCTCAAAATCAGGAATCACAAACTTCTTTCGGAATGCCTGGGTCAGGAGCACAATGTTGCTGCTCACACACTTTCGGAAGAGACCTCGGTCCAAGAGGCCACCACTACTGGACTCTTGGACCACACGGTGCATCTCGTTCATGCAGTCTCGGAGCCGAGGATCTGATGTCTGCAGTCCAGTGGCCTTTAGTGCAGTGGTGAACTTGTGGATAGGGATTCGTTCCTGTCCTTCAGCAATAGTGTAAAAGAGCAAATCACCCAGGCGGGACAGCATGCCACTTTCTGATGAATCATGATCCCGGTGCAGCGGCTGGTGGCTGTGTGGCGTCTCTCTGCCCTGCGCCGCGGCCTCACTGAGGTGGTGCCGGACGCCCCCGCCAAGGAGAGGGCTCCGGCTCAGGTGACCCCAGTCTCCCCGCCGGCAGTGACTGCCGGCCCGGCTCAGCGCCTTCTGCAGAGCCTTCACGGAGCGCATGCCCCCAGCACGCCGCCGGCTCTGCCTGTGCGCCCAGGACTTCTGAGCGTTGACTGGGAAGGAAGGGCGGAGCTGGCGAGATAAGGTGCGGGGGAGCTCTGTGAGGGAGCGCTGGGCCTGGAAGATGGAGAAGGGAGGCCTGGTGGGTGGGGCTGGGGCAGGAGGAGGGGCCTGCCCCTTTAAAGCGGGCTCCGGGGTTAGGAGCACCCATTCCCTCAGGACCAGGGCTAGGTGAGGAGCGTCCGGGATCGATAATGTATCTTAAAAATGCCTCATTGCTGGTTTTCTTTCCAGCATTTGAACGAAACACTATGAAGTGTTTGGCTTTCATTTAAGGTAATACATTATTCAAATCACTGCTGTGTTTAAATACAAAAGTACCATTTAGCTTAGCAAGATGCTGACACCTTAAAAGGCATGAGGGAAAGGCCATTCCTGTTAATTGAAGAAACTCACTGGAAGACTCTCCTGCATGATTTAAAGGATTACTTTTCCTTGATCTTTTATTTTTGTTGGTCATTATACATATTTCTTTGTAATTTTTTTCACCAATAATAATTGTATATTTTTATGGCATACATATGATACTTTGATACATTCATGGAATGCATAATGATCAAACCAGGTTATTGATCAGGTATTTAGGATATTCATCACCTAAAATATTTATCATTTATTTGTGTTGGGAACATTTCAAATCTTCTATCTATTCTGAAATACATATTGTTAATTATAGTCACCCTACTGTGCATCGAACACAGGTATTTATTTCTTCTAACTAATGTTTGCAACCATTGACTAACCTCTCTTTATCCCCTCCCACACACATAAACCCATCCCAGTCTCTAGTAGCCATCATTCTACACTCTACCTTCATGAGGTCAGCATTTTTTAGCTCCAACATATGAGTGAGAACATGTGGTATTTGTCAGGGTCTGCCTTATTTCTCTTACTTTAATGGCCTCCAGTTTCATCCATTTTGCTGCAAATGAAAGGATTTTTATTCTGTCTTATGGCTGAATAGAATTCCCTTGTGTATATATACCACATTTTCTTTACCATTCATCTGTTGATGGACATGCAGGTTGACTCGATGTTCTAGCTATTGTGAACAGTGCTGCAATAAACACGGGGTTGCAGGTCTCCCTTTGATATACTGATTGCCTTTTCTTTGGATAAATACCCAGGAGTGGGATTTCTGGATTATATGGTAGTTCCACTTTTAGTTGTTTGAGAAATCTTTATACTGTTTCCCTTCATAGCTGTACTAAATTATACTCCCATCAACAGTATGTAAGATTTCCCTTTTCTCAGCATCCTTGCAAGCATTTATTGTCTTTTTAATAATAGCTCTTCTAACTGGGGAAGATGACAACCCTGATTATTAGTGAGGCTGAGCATTTTTTTCATAGACCTGCTGGCCATTTATACTTTAATTCTTATGAATTAAAAGCACACATACAATATAACCCAGTCAGTTAGGCATGGATATGATAACTATGAGATCGACTAACCCTGGGAAGTGGCAGGATCTGACCTACACAAATGCCATATCTTCCCAAAACCTTACAGAACTACTTTCATGAGACTAACTCTGTTTCCACTCTTTCATACTCTTTCTGTTTACATATGTCCCCCCACTTTCATGTTCCTAACCACTCCATTTTCATCTCATTGCAGGACTGATTTTCAGCTTTGCTATTCTATGTGAGCACTGACCCCAAAAGGGACTTCCAATCTGTTTAGCTACTGGATGATGATACAGAAGACAGAAATAAACATAACATTGAATTCATATAACTGTATTAGCCTTTTACATATCAGATCAGCCATGGCAATGAACTCTCACCATCCATCTTTCGGTTCATTATTATTATAAGTAAATCTATTCCTGTGGGCAGACATTAAACATGAGAGAAATTAACAAAGCTGCACTAATACAATCACAACATCAATAATTTATAACCTGAGAAAAGGAACTGGTAAACCACATTTTAATTATACAGGTTCATCATGACACATTACTTATGTGACATTTTAAAATTTTTTCACACAATAATTAGTGCAGACAAGAGGTTGTAATAAATTATAACCAGATACATTATACCTGCATACATTTCTGTCAGCATATTTTTTCCTATCCTACTGGACATTTGTAAGAATATCCCTGGGGTCAGATATATTCATACTCCTTCATTTACCAAGCTGTACAAGTATTTAAAAATATATTACTTTAATATGTTACCAATGAGAGAACAAGTTAGTCAGTAAACAAATGAATAGCTGAAAATATTACTGTGTATTCATGGATTTCATATTTGTTTCCAGGTTGTAATATATGGAAAGGTAGAGAGTAACTTAGAAATTAAAACCTGTTAAATTCAGGAACATGCTGGATAATTTAAAAAGTTGGGACACCTATAAAGATGTAAAACCCTGTTTCATTTGGGAAAAATAAAAAGTTCCTAATAAGAGAATTAAAAATGTGAAGATGAATTTCTATCACTTGCATGTTGACAGATCTTAAATTCATTACTGTCACTGTGCTTTCTTTTGGCAAGAGTTCTAGTGATGAATCTAGTTTTAAAACACATAAGACATGCTCAACATTTTCACATTCTGGTCATCATGGTTCTCTACCAAGGTGGACACTTGAGAAGAAATGCTATTTAACCAATTGTCTTTTTTTTTTTTAAAGCAAATTTTTTTAAATGCCCATTAAAAAGTACTCCCACATGGATTAGTATGCATTAGCATATCTGATCATCTAAAAACAATTTATTTGGGACAGATATTAACCCAATTTATAGTTGAAGATACTAATATCAGAGAGGTTTGGACTTGCCCAAGGTCACATAGTTTTAATTCTGAAAAGCTTCCAATATCATGTTTAGCTTTTATACCACCATATGGCCTCTACAATTGGAGCAAATGCACTTTGTTCACACTAGTATCACTAAGCCATGGAGCAGTGTCTCACACCCAGTAGTTTAATGAATCTTTTGTAAATGAATGACCAGAGAAATGATTGAATGTCTGAGTCACTGTTGGGTTCTGTAAGAGAGATGATTTAGCTAACCTCTGGCAGAAAATAAAGTCTTGCAGCTCATTACAGTGGCAGCTAGAGCTCTAGAGATCTCATAAATTTTGAAGATTCCTAAAACATAAACACCTGAAGTCCCAGTTGTAAGCTTCATTTAGAAATGCCCACCTTTTCTATGTGAGTCAAGTTAAGTTAAATATAACTATGAGATGTTTCACATAAGCCTCATGGAAACCCCAAGGTAAACATCTGTAGTAGATACACAATAGAGAAAAAGAAAATAATCAAAGCATACTACTACAGAAAATTACATAATTACAAAGAAAGACTGCAAGAAGGAAAGAAAGGAATTATCTACAAAATATCCAGACAACAATAAATAAATACCTATAGTAAATCTTTACCTAGCAATAATTACTTTAAATGTAAATGGTCTAAAATTAATAAAATACGTAGACCAGCTACATAAATTTAAAACATGACCCAACTACATGCTGCCTAAAAGAGACTCATTTCATTTGTAAAGAAACATGTAGGCTGAAAATGAAATGAGGAAAATAGATATCCCAGGAGTAGCTATTTATCAGATAAAATAGTCTTTATATTTAAAACTGTAAAAAAAGAAAATATAACAATTTCCATACAAGTGGAAATCAAAATGGGGCAGGAGTAGCTATTTACCAGATAAAATAGCCTTTATATTCAAAACTGTAAAAAAAAAAAAAAGAAAATATAACAATTCCCATACAAGTGGAAATCAAAATAGGGCAGGAGTAGCTATTTATCAGATGAAATCATCTTTATATTCAAAACTGTAAAAAAAGAAAATGTAACAATTATAAATACATATGTACCACCCAACACCGGCGCACCACAATGTATAAAGCAAATATTAACAGATCTAAAGGGAGAGATAAACAGCAATACAATAATTGAAGGAGATTTTACATTTTCAGCAATAGGAAGATGATCCAGGAGAAAATTAATAACAAAATATTGGACTTCACCTATACCTTTTTGTTCACCTGTACTTTCAATCAAATGGACCTAAGAGATATATGTAGAACATACACAGGATACATATTCTCCTCAAGCCCACATGAAACATTCTCCAGAATAGATCATATGTTAGATCACAAAACAAGTTTAACAAATTTAAGATTAAAAATATATCAAAATCTTTTCTGACTACAA